GTGCAAAGAGATTTTTGTGCATTCATTTGATTTTATGTGAGGCTTCTATTTTAATATAATCCATCTAATAACTCTCCCTGTTATTAAAAGACAGTGGGCACTAACCTAATTTATTTTAATCGTACAGTAAATATTTGAGCCTGGAGGTAAGCTTGCACTTTTGCATGGCTGAAAACCCTCTTTCAGCATACACATATGTGTATTTATACATCCAGCATGCTGTTCATAATGGGATTTTCAAGTTTAGTAGCTTTGTAACAACAGTTTTGCTGTTCCTACTTGTATTTTCTGCAAATAAGAGTAACTACAATAGATAGACATACGTTCCTCCTCGCTTGCTATAAATATATCAGAGACCAGCTGATAAAAATAACAAGGAAAGAGCATTTAAAATTAGACATCTCAACTTCTATAGCAGATCATTTAACAGTTTTAGGGCAATAAAAATTTGAAAATCAGTTCGTAAAATATTTTCTCCATCAGGCTTGTTTCAAAATACAATTTTCAGTAGTGTTGGTTGTTTAAATGATTTTTTTTTTTTTTTGTAATCACAAAGAATAGTATCTAAGCTTCCCTGCACTTTTAAAAATTGCTATTACAGTCTAACAAAGAAATTGATCCTGTGAGGTCGTTGGGGAAAAAGAGACTCAGCACTTCCTGAAAGTCAAGTATGAAGACAGTTCTTGTTGTAAAACAGTTTAAGGGTGAGTTGTTTCTTTAAAATGTTTTCAGAGTCTCCACCAAGCTGATGACAATAGGAAAAGTATGTGAAGAATACATTATCTCTAATACTACTAGGGGTAAAAATGCAGTAATAATAAAGAGGCACTTCAAGTCATCTAAGTAACAGCATAACTTGTTTCTACAAATGGGAATGTGTAGATTTGGATGCACTAAAAACATACAATTCACATCATGGGATATTAGTTTTGATTCAAACTTCATTGTTTCAAGCAAAAGGAGTTTATGTAAGAAGTTTTTTACTTTTTTTTTACTTTTAAATAATAAATACCTATCTCAGCTTAAACTTATTGCCTACAATTAGTGAGACATTGCCTACATTAGTGAGACAAAAAAGGCAAAATGCTTCAAAGGCAGTTTACCTGGATAGTGTCTGTTTTATTAGTTTTAATCGGAGTTGCATTGGGTACTGAGAAGGAAAAGGCACGACTTCTAGAGTAACACAGCCAAGAAGCTGACATGTCTCGTGCCTTTCTCTTCCATTAGAGACATGCTATGCCTCCAGATGCTGCAGTCTGGATTTAGGGGCATATACCGCTCTTGCACAAGTAAGAGTTGCATATGTTATGAGTTAATTTCGTTTTGTTGTGTTCTTTTGCACATGGCTTTTTTTGAAACAGTGAAATGGAAAATATTTTTAGTTTACCATCTTGTATTGAAATATACTTGGGTTATTAAATAAAATCTAAATCCCTAAGTGATACGTTCTACAGCTCAAATGTACAAATGCTTAAAGTTCATGGACAAATTACCTATGAGGGAATTGCACAAATCCAGACTGTCCCCACGTACTGTACATTGCATGTGTCTCAGTCAGCTGAAAAGTGTGCCAAATAATACACCTCTTTTTACAGCTGACCTTCACTGAGCCCACAGTGCTAGACATTTTTCATTTGGAAAAAAAAGGATACAAATAAATGGACTTCACACTTTTATTGTGGGCATCTAATTTAAACTAAATGTATGAAAATGCATCAAAGAAGAGAGGAAAGTGGCTACTTAAAGTGATTTGGTGCATCAGAGTCCAATATGTAAACTTAGTTGGTGTGAAAGTGCCTAAGTCTCTTTCTGGAATACTTTATTGAAACCAACCTGAGATCTATCACATTGTATCAAAGGACATGCAAGTGGGATGCTCAATAAAGCATGACAAGCACAAATATCTTGGAAAGGTTTATTTCAACAAGTAGTTTCATATATTTACAGCTCATCAGTAGAGCTGCGTTCTGTTTTGGGGAAATAAAAAATTAGTTTATGCAAACACGGCTTTGGAAGGTGTAATTTTCAAGGTATGTCTCTTTGGATCCTTCTTCATGACATTTAAGAACTTACCAATGCTTTTTTAGTGTCACTGATGCCTTAGAATAGTTTCCTGAATCTTTGAGACTTTATCTGCAAGTTAAGCACTTCTTGGCATGTATTTTTTAGGGAAGTCTAGCTTATTTGTTGGGGTTTTTTTTAATTCTTCTTATTCTTTCACAAGACAAAATATCTGTGTCTAAAAATGTCCCAAGTTTAGTCTAAAATAATAATTCCAAACAAATTATATTTCATATTTCATTTCTCCTATCAAGTATCTGTTAGCATTATCTGACATTAGACTTTGGGGTGCATAATGCTGCTACGCATTAGCAATTTTTAAGTCTTTGTTTCCTACACCTATTATTAATTAATGTTGCAATCCTGAAAATGTTTCTAGTCAAGCAAATCACCATGAAGACAAATAGGACTCTGTAAAACACAGGATTACTCCCATGTGAAACTGGCAGAATGAATAGACACTGAGATCTGCAGGGCAGAGAATATCTTTCTGTTCCGAATACTCGCGGGTTAGGGGTTGCTGCTCCAAGTCTAAAGCTCATCACACTATAAATCATAGCAAACACACCTGCAAAGTAAATAACATAATCCCAGCAGCTATTAAAACCTAGAGATTTTGTAATTATTTATTCTTGCTGCATAGATACACGCCCATGTGTCTTTTTCTCTCTCCTGAGCAAAGAACAAACACTGTAGTCGTATTATATTCATTAATGGGTGAAAGACATGACAAAAATTAGTGACTTATCACTCTCCCAGTGATGGAGGCAAAATTATGAAATATGCTCCCTGCTGCTGGTCCTGCAAGGGCTTGGAAATGTCAGCCAGGAGACAATAAATATTTCAGATATGTGGTATGTTTTTGTCTCTATTTCGGTCTTGTTACTGTAAGCATACTGTGTATTTACCCAGTAAATGGATGTAAGTCACAGCTTAAATCTTCTGATGCTCAAAGTTTTCAATCATCTGTATTTTTTATTCTGGGTGACTCAGACTTGAAGTACAATCAGCACAATATTAATTTTGCAACACAGTTAGAAGCAAGAATTGTTAAAAATATAGAATGATAAAAATGCCCTTCACCTTTTTTTCATGCACAACAGTGTCTGTATTTTCAATGGGAACTCCAGTGAAATGCCTTTTAAATACATATACAGATCAAAATCCACAATGTGAATTGTATCAAACAATAAAATGATTAAAGTGTAAAATTTAAGCCATCCAGTGAAATGCCTTTTAAATACATATACAGATCAAAATCCACAATGTGAATAAAATAATTAAAGTGTAAAATTTAAGCCATTTTTTTCCCTCTATGATTAGTATTTTTGTGAGGAAAATGGACTGTGTGTAGCGTGTAATTGTCAAGATCTGGAGACAGCAAAATGGAAAACATATTTTTCAGGCATTATTGACTTGCCTGCATATGCATTTTGCGTACATTTCTAAATACAAATGAAAGATATGTATTATTAAAGTGACCTACAAAGCAAACAGTCATAGCTGTTTTCTAGTCCAAGTATTCTTAAGTGGAGATAATACTAGAAAGAATAAAAAAAATGTTAAATTGCAATGCAACATGCAGATTGGGAAACAAATAGTATTGTGCAAGAGGGTTCCATTTTCAAATAAATTATTTATTTAAACAAACACACCCCAAAGTCTTGAATATAACTTCTGGGATTTTAGGTATCTAATGTGAAATGCAAGTTTCCCATAGCAAGTGAAATGCATAGTTTCCCAAATTCTAAAAGCATTCCTGAAACATCATAGTTCAGGTGTGAAGCCTCACGTGCATTCAGAATTGTAATATTTCATCAATTTATTTAAATTAAATAGGAAGCATAAGATATTTTACTGGTTACAGTGGGCTGGCAATTCGAATAACTTTTAATGATGTAATGCAAACTTGTAAATCATTTTCAGTGAGGCCCTCATGGCTCAGCACAACTTTTCTGTAGTATACTAAATTGCTGGCATAGCTTTAAAATTTGTAATGCTTGGAGATCATGAAAATAAGAACAGAAGCCATATGTATGTCGGAGAAGTAGCTAAAAATATGAAGTCAGGCTTAAAAGTTTTTACAGATCTGTAGTTGTCTTTAAAGCAAAAATTGTGTCTGATAAGTGTTAAACCATGGCACATGTAAGTGCTATAGAGAGTGAAATGGAAGTACACCACAGAAATGCAATGTTAAAATTTTGAGGTACACATTGTGGTAGTGCAATTTCTCAGAAAAAAAGAAAAAGTTTTTATGACGAAATATTGTAAAGATACTGGTACACCATAGGTTTAGAATGGTAAATGTGATTATTGTCAATTTTAACTAGTCAGGGATTCAGTATTTTTGACTAGTCAGTGAACAATTATTCATTTTCTTTGCTAGGATTTTCAGTTAAGGCATTCAAGCATCTCTAAAATGATGCATAATCCCCAGACTTTATTGCTGCTTATATCTGTGGGTTTATATTGCAGCACAGGTACCAAGAGAAACGAATTATATTGCTTCAGAGGGAGTTAAACTGGCAAAAATTTAGGAAAAAGGAAAAGGCTGAAAATAAATATACATCTGTTGTGAATCTGGATTGACTCTAAGGTTAAATGATGCCTGCATTGACCAAATTGCCATGGAAAAATACGAACTGATCATAATTACAGCAGAATAAAACTTTGTCCTCTTGTTTGGTAGGCTCTTGGGTACAATAAAAACTTTGGCTAAAAGAAACTGAATTCATATTTGTAAGCTTTCCCTTTGACAGTAAGGAAAATATTCTTAAATGGTGTAAATTGCCATCCTTTTGCTGACTTCAGCAAAGTTATGACAATTTATATCACTGAAATGGTGGTTCCCAAGTATGACTTATCTGATTTTACTGTAATAGGCATATTGCAAATATGCAAACCACACACTAGAAAGAGCTGACAAGAATCCTACTTACATTCTGTAAATATTCAGGAAGGTGGTTCTTTCAGTCTCCAACGTAAGAAATCAGAAAGACTACAAAAGTCCTGAAGAGGAGGAATTGTACACTGGTTCGTTCGGGTCAATTTTACACGATCTCCTTCCCCATAAATGGCAAGTTAAAAAACGACCCACCAGCAAAACCAAGAAACACAAAGTGAATGCAAATAGTAGCCCATACATGAAAATATAAAGGATGTTCCAAACTGTGTTGGCTCCAGATGTTTTTATGAGTTAAACAGTTTACTGTTTTCACATATTTAAAACATTCTATTTTTTTCACTTGATGTTTATAAGCTTTGGGCAAACTTGCTGGCATTGATTTAAGTTATGCTTTTGTACCACATGTAGGTTACACACACATTCTGGAAAGGTACAATGAGAACAAGAATTCAAACGTTAATATTGAGAGGCAGCAACTGCTTACAATTTTTTCCAGTAATTATTCTGCTATTACTGAGAAGCTTTGGGCTGAAGCTATAACTAAAAAGTTATATTTTTTTTACAAAGGATGCTATCATACAGCCATAGGTATTTGGTAACTGCACAGAAACTTTCTGAATCATTTCAGAAAGTGTTTGAAGCTGTTTATTTGCCTCAACATTAGTTGCCTATATTTGCATTCTCCTTATATAGTTTAAAATGAAAGCATGAAGCTCTGCACTGAACTGCATTTCCATTTCATGCGTGCTTAAAACTGATTTTTAAAGAAGTAATAAGAGCACTTGATGTAGGACTTGTGAACTTATTTGGAAACTCAGAAGCCCAGGGAAGCACATTCCTGAATAGACAGATTTGGGTATGAAGATATTGACTAAAAGGAGCTGTACCATTATAGCTTTGCTATTGCATTCTTCTTTTTCTTCTCTTCTTCACCCTTAGGAAACTCTTCTACCTCTCCCTAAAATGCTAAAATGTCCTATTTGGTTTGTCTTTTATTTCTCTTGGAAACCTTATCTTTCTCCCTCTTCCTCGCACACTCTCACTTTCTTCATTGTTCTTCACTTATTTATTTTCTTTTTTTTTTTTTTTTTTTTTTTTTTGGTCATGTGCGAGAAATCCCGCATGGCATCCTGCATCCCCTAGAATTAAGCAAGGGCATTTTTACACCGCCTTGGACCTCCCCGACCTCTCTCTCCACAGCTGCGGCGGTGCGAGGGCTACGGCGGCCCTGGAAGGAGGGGTGCTGGCATTCCTGCCCCTCCGGCCCCGGCCCCCCCGACGGCGACTCGCCCCCGTGGCGGACAGCAGCAGGTTGGAGAGCGGCGGAGGGCACGGCAGCGGCGCGGCGCGGAGCGGAGCGGTGCGGTGCGGAGCGGACCCCGCAGCCCTCGGGCCGCCGCCGCCGCCGGGGCCGCCGCGGGCGCGACGCTCCGCGCCTGGCGCTGTCTCGCAGTTATTGCTCCAAGGCAGCGCCTGTTTGTGAGGGACAGCAGCAGCACCCCTGTGCTGGCAGCCCGGCGTGCTCCCAAACTCAAGAGGGGTTCAGCCATCGAGATTTCTTTGTATTCCTCTCTTCTAATATTAGAACACATATTGAAACGATAAACACAATGAAAAGCACAAAATATTTCATCAGTGTTGTAACTGTATATTTCCTTTATTCTGAAGAAATATCAAGTTTTGAACGGTGCACAGAGGCAGCAACTTCTGCTTTGGACGCCGCTCTCTTTGTAAAGACCGCGTTGTTACAGTTAAATCTAAAGATAGTTATTAAAAAGAGTTAGATGTCAGAAAAGGGGGGAAAAATCTTACCGTCGAAAGACTGCTGCAGGTTCCAGCTCAGTCTGAAACTGCAGTGAAAAGCGGAGCAGCTGCTGAACAAAAGTTTTAGATTTTTTTTTAAAGAAAGTCTGCAAAACTAATTTCCCACAAAATAGGACTCAATTTCCGTTTAAGAAACTAGCTCTTGCAAAAGTCATACAATTGCTGATTTTTTCCACTAGCAATTGAAATTCATTTTATCTTTAGCACATGGACCCAAGAATTTAGACTTGAGAGAAATAGTTTTCCTTTTCTATTTTTTTTTTTTTAGTTTTGTTTTGGGGGGAGGAGGAGCAAGGTACATCAAGCAGGAAGAGCTGAAGAATAAAACCTCTGTGCAGTGGGCACCTCTTTGGTCATTGATCACTAAATGCGTTATCCTGATTTAAACCAGTTAAGAGCCTCCTTGGTGGCTACTGTAATTCCACTACAGGGATGTTAAAAACAACCTTTAAAAAGAAAAGCGACAACAAAAAAAAGGACAGGCCCAGACTTTCCAGGTTGTCCCCCAATCCACTAAAGACGTTTGCAACGAAGCAAATGAAGATAAAGCAAACATCATGCGACTTCTTGTTTTGAAGGGGCAGAGGGCAAGAGGGGGAACTTCTCTCTGCAGCCAGCCCTGCTGGCACGGTGGGCGCCGGGGGGTTCCTTGCAGAACCAGCCGCCGATGCTGGGGCACAGCGTGAGGCTCTTGAGGGCAGCGCCGCGGCCCACGGCGAGTGCCGGGGCGGCGGGCAAAGCGGGCGGATGACCCGCACCGGGACCCTCGGAGCGGGGCAGCGCTGCGGGCGGCCCCGGCCCCGGCCCGCTCAGGTGAGGCGCTGGCGAGAGCGCTTCAGCCCCCGGGGAAACGGGGCGGTGGTGGCCCCCGCGCCCCCCGCCCCAGAGTCACCCCCGCATGTCGCCTCACGTCTTTATTGCGCCCGCTGCCCCCGAGGGGCGGCAGGGCCCCGAGCGGTCCGTCAGCCCCGACGGGGCGGCGATGGCCCTGCGGGGGCCGAGGCCGCGGGCGCCCGGGGCGCGGGCGCGCAGCGCTGCCGCCCGCTGACGGAGCGGCTCGGCGCGGGGACGGCGCTGGCGTTTTGGAGGGAGTTTGCATGTGGTCAGTGCTGTGCTGCTGAGCCAGCCCCCAGCTCACATTACACACTACTGTATTTATAACCTCTCGAAGCTGTTTCCCCCTTCAAGCAGTTCTCTGGGACCACCTTCTATTGGCTTCAACCTCTCCCACTTCTTGACATCTGAGCAGCTCTGAGAACGGCTCATCTAGGTCCGAGTGTTTATGCAGCGGAGACTGGCCACTAGGGCTAAAGACCTGGATTATCTGAGCTCAGCTGCCTGCTGCAGAGTCTGTCGGTGCCGTTTTGGAAAAAAAAATCCCAGCCCCGATCTGTTTACAGTGAAAGTTGACAAAGGGTGGTGAAGTTGGATCTTTCCTAAACTCTCCTGCCTGGAACCTGAGACTTGCATGCCATGGATCACACACTCTTTGGCTGCCTGCGCAGCCCCCATGCCACTGCGCAGAGCTTGCACCCTTTCTCCCAGTCTTCTCTTGCCCTGCATGGAAGATCTGACCACATGTCCTACCCTGATCTGTCTTCTTCTTCTTCCTCTTGCATAATAGCGGGATACCCCAATGAGGAGGGCATGTTTGCCAGCCAACATCATAGGGGGCACCATCACCATCACCATCACCACCACCACCACCACCAGCAACAGCAGCACCAAGCTTTGCAGACGAACTGGCACATTCCTCAGATGTCGTCTCCTCCCGCCGCGGCCAGGCACAGCCTCTGCCTTCAGCCTGACTCAGGAGGACCCCCGGAGCTGGGCAGCAGCCCCCCTGTCCTGTGTTCGAACTCTTCCAGCCTGGGCACCAACACCCCCACGGGGGCAGCGTGTGCGCCAGGGGACTATGGCAGGCAGGCTCTGTCCCCGGTGGAAACAGAGAAGAGGTCCGGCAAAAGGAAAAGCGACAGCTCAGGTAAAGGCTCGCGCGTTCCCCAGCGGGGCGGGATCCCCGGGCGGCGGGTGTCGGGGGAAGCGCCGCGGTCGGGCCCCGCGGACCTGCCGCCGCTCGGCTGGGCTCCTTTAGCTCGGGCACGTTTGGCCCGGCTCGGCTCGGCTGGCCCGGCCACGGCCGCCGCTGTGCTCTCGCCGCCGGCTGACACCGGGCTGCCGGGTTGCTCCTTCCCAGCAACGCGCTCTCGGGATCTCCATCACTAACGCCAGCTTTATTAAGGCTACAGGGGGAGAAATAGAAAGAAAAAATTCAGCACGTGATAGAGTATGAAATCAAGGTGGCGGTGGGGGAGAGTTTCCTACAGCCAAGGAGAGAAACGTTTGTAGTTTTGGTGCGGTTTTCAGCATCTGGTCCCGCGGCCCCCTCCCCCCTGCCCGATACGACACCTCTGCTTCAAAATTCAGAATCCAGCGCGCTCCTTCCCCTCCGCCCCTTCGCCGTGGAGCTGACTGCGGCTCCGAGGCGATTGCACAACGCTTGGAAGCTCTGCCTTGGAAGCGGGGATTCGGGAGAGGAGCTGATGCCTTGCTACCCTGTAGGATCTGAGTGCGCCTGCATCAAATCCTCAGCGTGAAGGGGCAAAATTTGGACTCTGTGAAGCAAACGGGTGAATGGGAGTTTCAGAAAGCTGCTTCTCTTCAGTTTCTGGTGGCAGGGACAGAGGAAAGGAAGGAGCAGTCTGCCTTTTAAAATCACACTAATTCTTACTAAAAGGCGAGCATAAAAACATGTAGACCTGCAGTCATTCCAGAGCGATGATTTGGCATCAAAAAATGAATGGGCATAAACCTTGACATTATCTCTGCTTTCTAAAATAGCAAAGCCTGTCAAAGTCCTGCTCTGACAAAAGCCACTCGTCCAAGGCAACACAACTGATGGGACTTCCGTTAGGGCGCACATGAACTGGGGGGTCACCAAAAATATAGTGAGACAGGCAGGAGGCACTTGAAAGAGAGAGGGCTCAACAGATTGAAAACTCAAGAGCTGGCGTAGCAAATTATTTGTTATCACAGAAGAGAAAGTGAAAGGCTTTTCCAGATATGTATGAAATTCGTAACTGAAACCATAATCTCTTTCACTCAAAATGCTCTAAGCGTGGTAGAGGGCAAGCAACACAAAGGATTTTAAAATATAACCCTCAAGAATACCATTGTTTACTTCATTGTCCTTTATATTAGCAAACATTTACAGTTACAGTAATTCAGAAGGTATTTATCTGAATTTCGTCTCACATAGTTGGTA